AGAATATTTCCACTTTATCCCAATGTTTTTATTTTATTTAAAGGAGAATATTTCTACTTTATTCCAATATTTCTATTTTATTTAAAGGAGAATATTTCCACTTTGTCCCAATATTTTTATTTTAAAGGAGAATATTTCTACTTTATTCCAATATTTCTATTTTATTTAAAGGAGAATATTTCCACTTTATCCCAATATTTTTATTTTATTTAAAAGGAGAATAATAGTTCAACATATTCCAATGTTTTTTCAGTGGCAGGGAGAATATTTCAACTTATTTAAAGTAATGTCGCTCATCATTTCTACCTCATTAAAATGAATGTCAGGGAGAGATCAACTCTGATTTGAAAAAAATAAAGATACAAGTCATAAGTTTTACGGTAAAACATTTGTGGAACCAGATGCCACTCAAAGACAAACCCCTCGACACACATAATGACTTCATTTCTACGAATACAGTTTTGTCTTTCTTGACCCGGGAATCTAAACTCCGAGTCCTCTTAGGTGTAGAAACTCCCTCTAGCCATGAACCAACCCCCAGGTGTGTGTTTGCACTTGCAGAGCGACGTGGCTCACGCGCTGGGCGTGTGCCACCGGGTCCACCTGTTGAACCAGGTGGTGTCCTGGGTGGAGGAAGTGGAGGCTCGCTCCTGCTCCGCCGTGCACGTGACCGACTCCTCGCTGGGCGGCGTGCCCGCACGGGTCTTCCAGCCGAAGGGGGGGAGGCAGCCCAAGAGGGGGGTGGTATACTTCCACGGCGGAGGATGGGCGCTGGGCAGCGGACGTGAGTGTTGATTCAAAACAAACTCTGAAAGCTGCAGAGGATTGTTCACTCAAACAAACATTCATCACTGTGATAAACCAACTAGATAAATAACACTCTCGTTATAGTTTGCGTAACATCAGCATCACTGCCCGCTTCACAGGGATGCGATCATACGACCGTCTCTGTCGGAAGATGGCGGAGGAGCTGGACTCTGTCGTCATGTCTGTCGAGTAAGTTCTGCTAAATGTCTGCAGGAGAACATCTGAATCTAATAAAAGTTTTTTTTATTTTATGAGCTACTTCAGTGGGTTCTGTAAAGTGTCACGTAACGTATTAACGTCGTCTTCCTATCCTGTCACTGTAGTTACCGTCTCGCTCCAGAGGTGGTGTTCCCGGATCAGTACCACGACGCGCTGGCGGCGTCGCGGGCCTTCCTGTCGGCTCAGGTTCTGGAGCACTACAGCATCGACCCGGAGAGGGTGTGTGTGTCCGGGGACAGCGCCGGGGGAAACCTGGCGGCCGCTGTGGCCCAAGAGGTAGACGAGAAAACATCAATGTTAAGTCTTCATCTAATGGCATCAAGAGAAGCAAGTTACAGTTACTGTGAGGAACTTTAAACTGGTCCTGAACCAGTCTCAGTCTAGTCCTGATCCCCAATATGAACCAGTCTCAGTCTAGTCCTGATCCCCTATATGAACCAGTCTCAGTCTAGCCCTGATCCCCTATATGAACCAGTCTCAGTCTAGTCCTGATCCCCTACATGAACCAGTCTCAGTCTAGCCCTGATCCCCGATATGAACCAGTCTCAGTCTAGTCCTGATCCCCTATATGAACCAGTCTCAGTGTAGTCCTGATCCTCTATATGAACCAGTCTCAGTGTAGTCCTGATCCTCTATATGAACCAGTCTCAGTGTAGTCCTGATCCTCTATATGAACCAGTCTCAGTGTAGTCCTCATCCTCTATATGAACCGTGCTCATGTCCACAGCTTGGCTCCGATGACACGCTGACGGTAAAGTTCAAGGTCCAGGCGTTGATCTACCCGGTGCTGCAGGCGCTCGACTTCCACACCCCGTCCTACCAGCAGAACCGGGCCGTGCCCATCCTCTACAGGCCCGTCATGGCCCGTTTCTGGCTACAGTACCTGGGCGCCGACGCCTCCCTGGAGACCCTCCTGCTCGCCAACAACCACAGCTCCCTGGACCAGCGGGCCATCGGCGCCGGCGTGCGTTCCAAGCTGGACTGGACTACTCTGCTCCCGGCGGACCGCAGGAAGCACTTCCGGCCCGTGGTGAGGGAAACAGGATCGCCGCGGGTGATGGGCGTGGTGCCGGAGCTGATGGACACCCGGGCGGCGCCGCTGCTGGCGGAGCAGGGCGTCCTCAGCGGGACGCCGAAAGCGTACGTGATGACTTGCGAGTTCGACGTGCTGCGGGACGACGGGTTGATGTACGTGAGGCGACTGCGGGACGCCGGCGTCGCGGTGACCAGCGACCACTACGAGGACGGGTTCCACGGCTGCATGGTGTTCGCGTTCCCGCCAATGATGTCCAGTGTCGGATGGAGGAGCATGAACAACTACATCCACTGGCTGGACCAGAACCTGTAGACCACACAGAACCGCTCTGCAGAAAAGGGTTTGTGACACCAAAGATGTGCCGGAGCATAAAATTCCGGTAACCGAGAGCTCCTTTGTTGGTTCTGCAGAGATGTAACGTGGTTGTTTGGTGGCCAGAAGGTGACAGGTCTAGATCTACTGCATCCTGAGCGAGACGCCAGACAATCAGCTGCTTTGGTTTGGAGCATCGGCTTCATATGTGACATTTATAAAAACAAGAACCAAGAGATCTCCTCCAACAGGCCTCACGATATACTTGCTGTCCACCAACGTGGACGTGCTCGGGTGCAAGAATCCCTTTAGCCAGAGTCTGCATAGAGAGCTGCAGGAACGAGTCCTCAAACCCAGAAATGAGTCAGCGTTTCTCTACTTCCTGTTTCCTCGTCTCAAAGTCAATGTGTTTCTGGTTAGACGTCTGAAAATGAGGTCTGTGTTTAACACGAGCACGTTTAGCTGTCTGATATAAAACAAGTCAGTGAACAAGAGTCCGAATGAGACGTGAAGTCATGTCACTGCGGTGGAGTTCCTTTATAGCCTAACGTTAGCTTTTTACTTCTGTTGATTGTACTCCTTCTCCCGTCTCCTCGCCCCGTCTCCTCGCCCCGACTCCTCGTCCCGACTCCTCGCCCCAACTCCTTGTCCCGTCCCGACTCCTCGCCCCAACGCCTCGTCCCGTCTCCTCGCCCCGGCCCCTCGCCCCAACCCCTCGCCCCGTCTCCTTGTCCCGTCTCCTCGTCCCATCCCTACTCCCGTCTCCTCGCCCCGACTCCTCGTCCCATCCCTACTCCCGTCTCCTCGCCCCGACTCCTCGTCC